TTTAAAAAATATGTTAGGCACAATTTTCTGGTAGGCCCCTGATATTTTAACTCAGGGCTCCTTGTTACTTGTCTACACACATACGCACAGACACTTTTACCTTTCCTAATAAAGAAAAGATTGGCTGTGATAGTAGTTTATTTGCTAAGGAGTTTCATGATGGCTCACATAAGCTTTGAAGTTGTCCACTTAGTTCGTGACTATCTCAGAATGCCCAAATGGCTCAGCACCAAAACCATCCATAGGAACAGAAATTCACATGAAATAAGGTTAATTTTATGGGAACTTCTGGCAGAAGTCAATGAAGAAACACTGAAATTTTAAAGAAAGGAAAAGAAATTACTAGACAAACAACAACAAATATAGAGAGTGAACCACTTAGAAATCTTGGAAAAGAAGAATAGAATTATGGCAACAAAAAATAAAATACTTTTGTATCTGGTATAAAGTCAAAAGAACAAATTAATACAGATAAAAGGAGAAATTACTGAGTTAGAAATCAAACAGCTAGTTGAATGAATAGGCTCTTCCTTTAAAAAAAAATCTCCAAAACAGGAAAACCAAGGGACAACCTAATTATTTGAAAGAGACAGAAGGTAAAAAGGTTTGCTGATGACTCTAAAAACTGGATCAGGGTACACAATGGTTTGGTATTATTCTCTCTACTTTAATGCCTGGAAATTTTTATACTAAAAAATAGAGAAATCATAGGAGAATACTAACTAAAGTATATATCAGAATAAAATTAATGGCAAAAGCCTAAACAGTAAAGCCAGGGGCCAGCACCATGCTAAGGCTCCACGCAGAGGACCACGGGACACTGTGGGTCAGCAGCACCGAGGGGCAGCTCCCTGCCTCACTACTGGATGGCTTCCCCAGGGGTGCCGGTTCCCAGGCCCTCCTGGAGTCCGCACAGCTGCCCTCCCTTCTGGAGCTCCAGAAAAGCCTTCAAACACTGAGATGCGATACTTGTATTGGAAGCTGGACAAAACATCCCCAAATGGCAGTGTCTGAGGGACAGAGATGGGCCTGTGACAGGCGAGAACATTGTTTTTCTGGCATACACAGAACATTTACAAAAATTTACCTTCATCTGGGGCACAGTGCAAGTCTCAAAACATTTCAAGTTTGGTTTCATGAACATTACATTTTTTCATCCACATTTAAGTGAGTAATTAACCACAATGATTACTTGGGAGAAAGAGATATACATTTGGAATTAATACATATATTTTCAACTAACTGATGATTCAAAGAAACTATGTTGAAATTACAAAATATTTTAAGTAGCCATATTAAGACTGCTACATCTTAAATCTTGAGGGATTTGGACAAAATGCTTCTTAAAGAGCTATTTAAAGTTCTAAAAACTTACATTAGACAACAGGAGAGGCTAACATAATAATGAAGTAGATTTCCAACATGAGAAGTTAGAAAAAGCAGCAAATGAGCACAAGGGAAACAGAAGGAACTAATAAATGCAAAACAGACATTAATAATTAGAAGACAAATTGCACAGATGCACGTGTACAGCTCATTTGCACCAGCTTACGTCTGAGGCCAGCTGTTGCCTCAGCAAACAGGTACATGTGGGTTCCCTTGCCTCTGGTCCTCACCTCAAGCTTGCTCAGCCCCACATCTATCATGTCCTGCCCCCTTTCTCTGATGCCCCGGAAGTAGGATGTCAGCAGGATCCCACTCAGCACTCAGTCCAGAGCAGCCCAGAAGTACAAGGGATCAATGCCCCAGTAGTGACTTCACCGGTGGGAAGCAGCATCCCCTATTCCTTGGAGGGAGAAGTCCAGGAGAATTCTACGCCCAAGCAATAGGTCCCAGCTGGGGCGAGTTCCAATTGCCCAAGGCAGTGGCCAGCGTTTAGCGTCCAAGAAATAGAAAATGTGTATCTGTTCTCATGCATATACCACTATGTTACTCCACCATATGCATTGGGACTTTTAAGGTTTCAACAGATTTTTTTTAATTGACATCATCCAGAGCACATAGTCAGACCTCAATGCAATTAAACTACAAATCAACCATACAAACAGTTCAAAAGTATATTTAGGAAATTGAAATGCTCCCCTAACTGACTCTTCAGTTAGGAAATTACAATAGCAATTATGAGATGCTGGTTCCACCTGAATGAATGGCTTGCAAGTACCATTCCTAGAAGCAGAAACAAAAATCAAAAATGTAGAAGTGAGTCTCTGTACAAGCTCAGAAAACAGAAGAGCTGTGAGCCGGAATGATACACGGGCAGGGAGTGGGGAGGGAGAGGAACAGGGAAGAAAAAATTATGACTAACAAGAGTGAAAAGTGGGATTTAATTGCAGTGAAAATTAAAGACACATTTAAGAGATACTATGAATAACTTGATCCAATGAATCTGAAAGCACGAATGAAATGGATTCCCTTTAGAAAAATAAAACTCACCAAAACTGAATCAGGAAGGAAACAAAAGCCTGCATGAACCTGTAACCCTTACAGAAACTGAATCAGTCAAAATTCTCTCACCTCCTAGCACCCCAGACAGATGTTCAGGGGAATTTTATGTAATCTTCAAGAAATAAATCATATGCATCTTATATAGATTTTTCAAAGAATAGAAAAAGAGCATGCTATATGATTCATTGTAAGATGCTGACAAAAATTTGGTAATAAAATCAGACTAGGAAAACACATATTTCCTATGTGCAACCCAACCACAGACTTCATATCTAGACTACATAAAGAAATCCTACAAATGTACATAGTAAAACAGAAACAAAACCAATCTAACAATTAAAATGCACAAAGTAGATGAACAAGAAATTCACAGAAGACACTCAGGCATCCAGTAAACACATACAAAGATGCTCAAATTTGTCAGTAAACATGAAACTAGAAACCGGAACAATGCTATACCATTTACTCCTCACACTGGCAAACGTTTTAAGCCTATGGATAACAAGTGCCCCCAGGCATGTGGAGAAATAGAACATTTCACGCACTTTCAGGGAAGCTCTGAGCTCTCTGGAGAGCAATTTGGCAGCATTTAATGAATTTGAAGATTCCTGTCCTCTCCAACCTGATCGTTTTAATGCTTAAGGCAAAGAGGCACACAGTTCCCCCTATTACGTGGTCAGCGGCTCTGTCTGTCAGGCCACCGCCTCTCAAATAAGGAGAATCATCCTTTGCTGTGATCCGTTGCTAAGGATACTTGTCAAGACTTTTTCCATTGTAATGATAATCTCATAACTTAAAAAAAAGAAAGACTTCCAGAGTGTTTAATCCAGATAGAAGATCGAACCATCAAATGTCAGTTCCCTGAATGAGTCGCCCTCTGGGATGTCAGAATTTCAAGTAGAGAAAAACCCAGTGAGTGCATTTTTAGCTCTAATGCTAACACAAAGCATCCAGTGCAAACATGAAAATGTTTCCAAGAACATTTTAACCGCTTAAAAATTGCCTGTTTTATAAAAGGAAACCAAGGGTATTTTGCTGGAGGAAATCTATGTTCTTGAGAAGTCAGGTTGGATTTTGGGTGAGTGACATGGCTTTGGGGAACCCCCCTCCCCATTCCTGCTCACTCACCCCTTGCTCCTATGAGGGAGGAGTTTGGCTGGAAGGAATGTGAGATCACCATGCCTGGACTCTTTACTTTACAGATGAAGAGCATCACCTGGCATTTCTCCTCTCTCACTGCAAGTTCTTAGGGAGACTTCAGTGCATCTCCCCAGCAATCTAATGAGTGTAGTATCCCTGGCAGAGAAGGCGCCAATAACTCTGAGCTCCAGGAGAGGCATTGATAACTGAGTGCTGGGTTTTTTATGTTCAGATGTTGAACCTTAAAGTAGGGGCCACTTTGAGGTCCTGGAAAGAAACATGAAGCAGTTCCCTTGTTCCTCTGCTATGACTGTGCGGCTCTGGGGGCTGAGGGGATGTAAGAGCAGCTGCTGGGGGCATGCAGGGGGCTGTGAACTATGACCTGTCAAGAGAATGTGCAGAGCTGGGAACAGAACGTGGAGAGGAGAAATCACATTTGTAAATGTTGAAATAGGTATTGGGTTCATTTAAAAGCATTTATTGAGCATCTGTTGTAATGTAAGCCATCCTTTGAGGCAGGTCCTCGACACCAGAGCTGTAGGCTACCTGGTCCCAACACTGAGCTTTACAACACTAAGTTCTATAAACGCATGCATGCACTTGGAATATACAAACACACATGCCACATGCATCCAAAATGTAACAAAATTTAGCTAGCATTTGGCCAAGCGCTAGAAACCCAAAGAAGAAAGTCCTTCCTGTGAGATGGGGGAGCGATATGGCTTCTAGAAAGAAGTAGGACTGTGTCAGGTATGTACTGGCATTAAATTCACATGTTTAACATGCCCATAATGTGCAGGAAAGAAGTCCCTGGGTGGTAGCACCAAATGACAAAGGGTAGAGCCCCTTGCTTTGAAGATCAAGAGCAGTTTGCACTGGCTTATAAAGATAACTTCAAAACTGCAATGTGAGGTTATTTCTTATAAAAACCCATCAGATCAAAATACGTAAGGGGCAGCAGAGAAGGCATAAGGAGCCAAGAAGCTCTGAGAAATCGTGAAGGTGCATTGGGGTGATCCAGAAGTTTCTGCAGCGTGCAAGACAGCCTAGGGCAAAGATATGCAAACAAGTGCCTGGGGCTCCTGGGAAAACATACTGACACATGTAAGAACATTGCCAGGAAGAGCAGGAATGTCCACGCAGCTTGCCAAACAGAAGGCCTTTCTGGCAGACTGCAGGTCAGTGTGTCAGGAATTTAAGTCACCAAGGACAGCAGGTGGGAGAATACAGATGTAGTGACATTTCTGTGCTAAAACCCAGAAGTGTTGCTCAATCTGCCTTCTTGAATCAAGGCTGAAGTGTATTGCCAGAAAAACAGGCCCTATCAATAAGGCAGAAGGTTAGATACAATTAAGGTACTAGCAACAAAGACATCAGGCCACAAGGTTTTAAAGTGAACCATAATGTAGACTCACCTGTACTTATCGATGCCCGGCCTTGCCCCGGGAAGTGCTGGGGTGGTGGAATAAGGGCCATTTGTGGGCCTCTCAGCATTATGGTAATTTAGTAAGAGACCTTAAGTCTTGGAGGTCTGACAAGCAGGGTATAACACTGGCGACTGTGTGCCCAGCACCTCTCCTGCCTGTCTTCAGCTCTAACCCCTTTGACCTGGGAGGCATCTTTTCCACCCGGCCAAGGTAGAGAGAACTACTCGCCAACCATGTGGTCCTGCCCTGACCAATCAGAGCCCCCTACCTCCCGGCCACAGTGATTGGGTTGAGCCTGCTCATGTGACCCAGACTGGGCCAGTCAGAGTCCCTGGGCCAGCTCCTGGAGCCGGTGGGGAGGCTGCGTCCCTTGATGAGCGGCCGGTGGCCGTGGGGTCTGGACAACATCTTTGGTGCAACCCTGTCATGGCCCCCTGCCCAATTCCCCACTGATGTGAGGCAGTGAATGCCCTATTTTGCTTAGGCTAGTTTGAGGTGGTTGCAGCTCAGGGAGAGTCCTAATACAGCCTTTTATGATAATGGTTTTTAAAGTGGCATTTTAAGGAAATTACAGCTAATAATGGCCCAAAATAGAATTAGAACTTGCCGTTGATTCAGGCCATTGAGGGAGGAATGATCTTCCTTTGAGAGGTGCAGATAAACCTTTGCACTGATAACATGAACCCCCAACCACCACCCACCACTACCTACACACACACACACACACACACACACACACACACACACACACGCACGCACGCACGCACACATGCTCCCTTTAGGGAGTGTTATGAGATGAAACAAATTTTCCCAGGTGCTGGGATGAAATTAAATCCTAGAGAGTAGTAATTTACTAAATGGTACCTTATCATTTTAGAAGAGCTAGGAACTTCTGAAACACCACCTGGCTCACATTCTTGGAGCAGTTTTTGAATTGGCTGAATCGGGCTGAATAGCTCCAGAAAACTCTAAGCTCCAGTGGTGGAGCAGCTGAGGGTCTTAAATGACAATCTGGAACGTTCTTCCAGAGCCGATGCATCTGCTCCCTGATGAGCATATAGGATGTTTCCTAAGGAGAAAACCCTGTCCTGATTCCTGATGGGGGGCTGGATGCACTCACCTCTCTGTTCAGTCTCTAGGTGGCCAGGTCCATATGGACCCATAATGGCCTTACTGGGCCAGCCTTCAGGTTGCTCGGCCATCATCCAGAGGCCCAGAGGTGCCAATCACTCCAAGGCAGCCCCTTGTCTCTCCACCCACACCCCTGGCCACCACAAAGGGACTGTGCTCTGGGAATGTGGCAATGCTGGACCAGGAATCCCAGGGGCCCATGTCCAGGCCAGCTCTGCCATGGGGGCTGTGGGACCTTGGAAAAGTCACCAAGCCTCTCTGGGCCACATCTCCTCCAGGTGTAGGTGAAGGCATTGGTCTGGCTTGGTGCTTTTCAGACTGCCCACTGCCCGAGGCTCAGGCCAGGCGGCAGGACTCGGGGGGAAGGGGCGGTCTCCCAGCCCCTCCACAAGCAGGCATTTCCTCCGCCACCTGACAGGGGACAGTGGGCACCTTGGCTAAAAAAATCATGAAAGGATCCTCATTATCCTCAGCACATTATCCTCGGAGGCCTTTGCAGTTCTGAGATGCAGTGAGTTGAGGCACTAAAGGTGAAGCCACAGTGCCTGGGAAAGACGAAAATAAACCTAGACTGGTGACCATTTTCAGGGAATTATCCCGTACCTCTCTTTGGGCACAAAACACCACGGGCCTGCACAGGAATGGTGCATGTGATCCTCCTCACCCCATCAAGGCCTTTCTAAATATGTGCTAAATAAAATGTGAAATAGGAAGATGGTTGAACTGAAGTTTAACTTTACATCTGAAAGAAAATACCTTAGCCTTTTAAGAAATTTCATGAATGCATTAAAGATCTCTTGGAAATAAGTTTTCTCCCATGATATAAGGTTAAAACTAGCTGGAAGGGGGGATCTTTATTTTGAGTTTTTTATTTATGTAGCTATTTTTTTTAAGCACATTGTGAACATTTTTATAATGCTCTCAGCATTTTAAGGATCGAAAAACTAGAGGAAGGTCAGCAAAGCAGAGTAAAATCCACAATACTCTGATTGTTCTGAATTCAAAATGGGAAGAGAAATATTTCTACATCCCCATTTTCAGAAGAACTGACTGTTGCCCATTGTGAGCCGGCTTTAACTATTCCCGAGCCACCCAACCACTGCAGCAAACATGAACTACATCACTTCAAAGCTGTAGGCGTGACATTTCCACATCCCAGATAACACTATCCACATTACTAGGCAGTCAATGCTGTAGTTCAGCTGCAGGGAATTCTTTGCAGTTGATGAAGCTGGTTGCTGCCTCAGTTTCACAAATGAGACGGGAGCAGTCGGGTCTACAAAGATTCAAGCAGTCGGCATGGGGCTCTGGGCCACATTCCAGGCCAGCTAGAGTGCAATCCAGGAGGGACCCACTTGCTGTCCCCAGACCCACCCACGCTCACATCTGTCCACAACACAAGCATACGAGCGACCAGTGGCCTCCACACACGACTTGTTCAGGGGGGCCACACACAGCAGCTCCTTTTAAGTTCAGGGGTCTTTGAAGCATACTTTGGAGTCAAGTTTTCAAGGTGGGGGAGTGGAGGGGGCTTGATGGTGACAGAAAGGACAGAAGGAAGAAGTTCTGGGTAAAAGGACTCAGGGGCCAGTGTGCACACCTGTCTGTCTGCAGGAGCGGTTCCAGCTGTGCTTCCAGAAATCCGCGTTGCAGCCCAATCAGCATTCCTTCAGCTGGGCAGCCAGGAAATCAACTGTATGACATTTGTTGAACTCCTCTGAACCCCAGGCACTGTGCTAAAGTTACAGGATGAATAGATATTGTCTCTGCTCTCAAGGACTTTATTGTCTAGCACGGGAGAAAGACAACGAACTAATGGCAGCACAAGAGATGCTGCCATCGCAGTGCAAACTGTACACTCCGGGAGCCGGAGGAAGCAGCGACCAGACACAGCTGCATTACTCCGGCATTTATGTTAGTGATATTTTTGCTTGAAAATGATTTTTTATTTAAATTGTGATTTTAAAAGACCTGCTTTAAAAAATGATGACCATGCACTGTGGGGTTCCTAACCCCACATGCATCAAAGTGACATGTATGAAAACATTGCTATGAAGGGCAGAAGGGGTAACGGAAGCACGCAGGCATAGATGCCAGGTTCCCACGCTCTGCAAGTGGGATGGTGTGATGTTAACTGAAGGTGGGCTGTGACAAGCTAAAGATGTGGAAGAGCGTACCCACAGCAGAGCTACAATGGCATATGGAAAAGTACTCATTTAAAATGTATGTTATGTGTATTTTACCACACAAACAAAAAAAAAAAACACTCAGTGTTTAGTTCATCAAAATGAGGGAGGAAAAAATGGAAAAAGGAGCAAGATGAGAGAATTAAACCCAGTGACACCCCCAATTATCTAAAATATAAATGGGCTAAGCACTCCATTTACAAGGCAGAGATTATCAAAGTGGACCAAAAAACAGAATATATGTTTTCTACAAGAAAACACGTTTTCTTCCAGAAACCCATTCTAAATATAACAACACAGGTAAAGGTCAAGAATGGAAAAGGAAATACTGTGCACGTAACAGGAATGAGATTAGCTGGACTACCATATTAATATCAAAGACTTCAGAATAAGGAATAGCACCAGGAATGAAGAGGAAGATTCCAGAATGATAAAGGAAAAATTCTGTCATGAGGACATAACAACCCCAAATGTGTACGTACCTACTTACAGAGCTTCCAAAATACATAAAGGAAAAGCTGACAGACCTAAAAGGAAAAACAGACAAATCAACAATTTTGTTTCAGAGATTTAAATGTTCCTCTCTCAATAATTGATAAAATAAGTAGACAGAAAATTAGTAACAATACCACCTTTACACAGAAACATAGTGTTAACCCAACTAATTTACAGTTGTGGACCCTCCACCCAACAACTGCAAAATACATTCTTGTCAAGCACACACAGAACCATATGCAGGGTCATAAAACAAGCCCAAATAAACAGAGCAGTTCAAATTATGTAATGTCTGCCCTTTGACCATAAAAGAATTAAACTAGAAATCAACAGAAAAGTAGGTAGAAAATCTCTTAAATATTTGGAAATTAAATAACACACTTCTAAGTAACCCATGAGCGCTTCTTGCTCATGCTTGATGCTTTTCCACCTGCATTATCTACCCATACCTTCGCCCCCATCCTCTGGATTTTTGGCCTTTCTCCGCCCCACAGCTTTCAGAGTGCCTCCAGGATGGGGCACAGAATTGGCTTTGTCCTTGTTCAGTTGATCCCATTTACGTTAAATAACCTGCCACGCACTTGACCTGCGTTCTCTTGTATTTTGGGGGTTATACTTTCTCTTCATATACAAAGATGTGACCTCCCCACACAGCTTTGTAGTAATGGGGTTTGTGGGGTGCTCCTCACTTAGCCCCACATGCTCTGCTTCTCAGAACCAGAGCAGGTTCAGGGATGCACCCTGTGCCTCACGTGGACCTCACCCCCCGAACCACTGGGGAGGCCCTGCCTCCTCTGTGATTTCTCCCATGGCCTGGTCTGAACTGCCACCTCACGCCCTCTCCCCAGCTCTCCTATGCCATAGCTTTCACTAACCTGCCACCTGTCTGTGGCCTGGGGTCCCATGCGGCCACATCTCATTAGACACAGACCTCATTCTCTGGTTCTTGGTGGGCCTTCCTCGGCGGGGGGGAAGGGGAGGGCCAAATTACAACACCGTTTTTTAAACTGGAAATCTTGTAGTGCATTTTAAATATGCAACAACACTGACTGCCATTGCCATTTTCACCGCATTTTTTTTCTATGTAAGAAGAAAAAACGGATATTTTCCTTATTCAGAGAAAATCTAAAACCATTCTTTTATATAGCTGCATGGGTAATTGAAGTGAGATAGTCTGTAAGTTAAATATAATAAGGTCAATGAGTAAATCCAATTTCCTACAATGAACAAAATGAGAGTAAATATAATTTCTCAGCAGAAGTAAATAAAACAAATAGCATAATCTCCAGGTGGAGAGGTTTATGAAATAACCCATTTTAATTAAAATACTCTCCCAGGGAAGCTTCTTGCTGATGGTGACTCAGTTTTACGACAGCAAGACACCGACTACTGTG